GTAAGATAGGCTAAAGACATTGTCCTGGCAATGAACCCAAAGGTGTGTTCTGAACAGCACCCCTCTGTTTAACAAAATTAAAGCCACAACATAGACATCATTGAATGAGATTCTGACTGAGCACTTAGTAACATTGTGAATGACTTTTGTAATTAGAGCAGAGAAAAAATGGTATGTGTGGTGGCAGGTGGGCTCTGGATTGAAAAGATATATTTAAAGAATGATTCGTAACTATTTTAGCTTTTTAAAGGAAATGGGAATCAAAGAATTGAAAACTACTGTGATGGAGTTGCCCACAGCTGGTATTAAGAAGTCTTGCCTGTGCCAGAAGAGACAGAAAGTAGTTTGCTTTGTGCAGTGTTTTGTAGAGTGAAAATGATTAAGAAATGCTTTTTCCCTTCATAACTTTGTACCCTTGTAGTAGTGTGATAAAAGACAGATGGTGAATAGTAAATAATAATTCAAAATGTAATAATATAATAATTCAAAAGCAGTCTGAAATGTACCTGTCTGTAATGTTCAGGAATACTTCTTAGGCAGTGTTTTGAGATAGTTCTTTATGGCAAGACCATAAAGAACAAACGTCAAAGAGCATCTTGTGGAGGTGGGAGTTTCTGAAGTGGAAGAAATAGTGTTATGAAAAATACAACAGTGGGAATTATTTGTCAAGTACCTATTGTGTTTTAGATTATGCCAGGAGAGAAGTGAGGGAGAGGAAGAGGAAAGGAATAGAAATGTGGAAAAAAAGAAGAGGAGAGGAGGGGAGAGGAGAAGAAGGAAGGGGAGGGGAGGAAAGAAAATGTGGAAATTGTAGTTAAAGAGTGATACTTGAAGAGTTTGAGACATTGGAAATGGTGCATATTTGTTGTTTGTTTGTTTGATGGTACTGGGGATTAATCCCAGGGCCTCATTCATTCACCAAGCTACATCCCCAGCCTGGCATTGTAGAATTTTGTGTGACCAAATCCAGCACCGAACTAAGTGGAAACAAAGAGAAATAAAGAGCTAAATGGTAATTTTTTAAGTTATATAATTAGAACCAGAGGTGGTTGACATAAGGCAAAGGAAATTAGTAGGCATACTTGCAAGTTTTAATAGAGACTCGAGATGGCTTCCTTTTCTGATTGAAGGCCTGTGGAATCAGTTCCATGGATATTCCTCTTCTGCTCTAAATGAGTCATTCAAAACTCATCCATTATTGCTGTGTGTGGTGGTGTGCACAACTAGATCCAGGTACTTAGGAGAATCCCTTGGCTTACAAGTTCAAGATTAGCCTACACAGCATAGATCTGTCTCAAAAACCCCCATATATGCCCAAATATTATATCATATCATATTATATTATATTATACTGTGTACCCGACAATATCTTAGATATTTGAAATATGTAACTGAGACCAGTATATGGCAGTACCAATTTGTAATATTGAAATATTAAATAACTTGTTTTATACATTGTAGAAAAAAGACTATAAAAAATAGTCTTGTACTATTTAAATTATGTTTATACCATGAGTTCTCTTGAGGTCAGGGATGTCTTCTTCATCCTTGAATTATGCTGTTTACTAAGTATAGCATCTGATGCTTATCAGGTATGTTCATGAAATGTTTTAATTACTGAAACTTTACAGAATATAGTAATTCTGGAACATTTTTACATGTAATATCAGCTTTTTTAAAGGCGCAGTAAGACAATAGTAAAATTATATATAGTGTTTAAAAGACTTTTATTTTAAAAAGTCAGTTTATATACTTCAATTCTCGCTTCTTGTTATAAAGGCAATATATAGCTATAAACTATCATTAAAGAATTTACATATATATAAAATTATATATAGACACATACAGACAGACATATACTCACAGAAACTCTCTTGTGTGAAAACTTCTGATAATGCATGGTATCAGTATATTATAGTGTGGTCCTAGTATTCTTTATTCTGTTTTTTCCCTCCTTCAGCACTGGGACACAAATCGAGGGCCTCACACTTGCTAGGCAAGTGCTCTACTACTGGGCTACATCCCCAGCCCAGCTGTATTCTTTACTGAATACAAAAGTGAGTCTTTTCTCACCAACAGAGAATAGGCCCTGGGTATTCATGTGTCACTTGGCTGTTTTTCTGCTTTAATTATGTTAGCCAAGAATGTTAGAAGAAAGAATAAGGAAATATAGTGAACTCCCATCTCTGTTCTGCATTTAGGTATATACAGTTATTTTGTTTTGTTTTGTTTTTTTCATTTGATTCCATGTTGAATAATGCTCATTCTTTGTTAAAAGTTTTCTGCTCAGTTGCATCTAGATGTCACTTTTTACTTAATTTATTTTGGGGATACTGAGGATTGAATCCAGGGCTTCACACATACTAGGCACAACCTGTACCACTAAGCTACACTGCCAGCCCATAGATAATCACTTTTTTAAAGTAAGAAAAAGTATTACTGGTTTTTAATTGTTGCTGCAGAGTAATAACTTTATTTAGTTATTGCTCATGTTTTCTCCACAGTTTAGCTCTTTTGCTTCTTCAAAATAATGAAATTAATGTTTTAACTATATATTTAACAATGCTGCATACTACAAATTCATTAGTTGTTACAAAAGTGTTTCTAACCGTTTCCAAACCTCAATAATGAATTTTTAATATTTTTATAGTTTTGAGTTTATTCTACAAATTTCTTTGTACTTAGTCATGGCTACATACACAAAATTGAGAAATAAAATTTAAGAATTATTTTTAAAAATATAAACAATGATAATTATAGTCACCAATGCTGGTTGTTCAGTTTAACTTACTGATCCAGGTACATTGATAGAGAAGGAAATGTAATTGATTATAGTATGTTAAAGCATATTTGAATCAGTTGGTTGAATTGATTGGTGACAGCCACAGATTTTTGTGTAATGACAAATGAAAAGAAACATTGTTTTATTATGTTTATAAGCTAATTTTTAGAAAAACTGGTGAAGTTCTGACTATTTTTCCCAAAACAAGCCCACAGTCTTTCTGATACATGATTATTAGTCTTAAAAATTATAGCTCAGAACTCTGATAACACAAAAGTACTAATTTACCAGTTCGGTCTTCTTTCCCTCTCCCTCGCTCCCTCCCTCCTTCTCTTCCTTCTTTCCTGCCTTTTTAGATTTTAAAGAACAAAAATATTTATTGACTTAGAACAGACACCCAGTGTGTGCCCTTTCCTTTTTCTCCTATCTCAGTTTTTTTGTGGGCCTTTCTTGTAAAGACACTTTAAGGATTTTTCTGTGTAAAGTTTGGTTATTGCTTTATTGCATTGGGAACACCACTCTGGATCAGAACTTTTCCCTTACAGGTTGATACAAGATACACTAGATGCAATTCATTTAAGTCTTACTAGTTAAAGTCATCGAAATGTTCCTATTTCAATAAAGAATGCAGCATTATTTCAGTAAAGAATGTAGGGTGGTCCATGAATATAAGGAGGCAGGGACAAGAAATTGCAAGTTCAAGACCAGCCTGGGCAAAGTTAGCAGACCCTATATCAAAAACAAAATAGAAACAAAAGGGTGGGAGATGTAACTCAAGTGATAGAGCACTGGCTAAGCAAATGCAGGGCCCTGGGTTCAATCCCCAGCACCGAAAAGAAAACATAAATGAATATAGCATTTATATCAGTCTATGTGTATAATCGGACCTTTTTAAGGCCTTCTCTTTGTTTTTAGGAAACAAAAAAGCAAAGAGAAGAGATTTAGTTAATAGCTAAATGATAATAAAAAGAGTACTCATTTTAACTTATTTTTTAATTTGCTTTATATTGTGTTAAAATTAATTAAATTGCAAAGCACACTCAGGTCTGATATAAATAGATAATAAGGGGTCTTTCTGTTTTTTAATACAGAGCACAATACTACTTTTTACAAAGTAAATCCTTTATTTTATTTTATTTTTTCCTTCTTGCAATGCTAGGATCAAACCTAGGGCCTTGTGCATGCCAGACAACTGTTCTACTACTGAGCTACATGCCCAGCTCTCTTCCCCCTTTTTTACAGACAGGGTCTCACTATATAGCCCATTCTCTCAACCCTCCCAAGTGCTTACACCACCACACCCATTTTCAAAGTGAAAGAGCCTTGAGTTGATACTCCATTTTCATAGTAGGAAGCCAGGGAACCTTAATTATTAACTGAAAATAAAAAGATTTCCAGGTGTTAAATTTTTTTTTTTTTTGCCAATTCAGAGTATAAAAAACAAATCATGTTTTGATTATATAACACTCCAACCTGGTATTATGACACTTAGTACTAGATTCTCTTTAAAGTAAAAGTAAAGATTGAACAGTCACACCTATTTGAGTTGAATATAGTATTACTATCAGAAAGTTTTTAAATAAATTTTATCTTTATTACCATCTGTGAATCCAGTTAGAAATACCTTAATAAGTTTATTCATGAATTCCTTGTGTTATCTTATACCTTATTTCATTAGACCAGACTATACTCCTTTTTGGAATCAAGATACTCTACTCACCCAAAAGGTATTAGATAGAAAACAGAGCTTCGGTTCTGCACATGGAAACTGGGATCTTTTGCTTGTAGTATATGATTATATGCGTGATGGCTTGGTAACAGATTTGAGGCCTATCTCATTGGCTTTCAATTTAGATTTAGAGTATGTTTTAATTTTCCTTATGTACAGAATTTTGATATTACTGTACATATTTTTGCAGAAAATTGGCCTCAGGTCAAACAATTTTAATTAATGAAAATTATTTACTTAAAATATTGGTTGTCAAATCTGACCTTAGATTCTGCTACCATTCATTTTCATTATTTTTAGAGTACTTTTATGTTTCTAGAATCATCTCATTCTATTGGGCTTGAAAGTAGAAATTATGGAAGACAATGTCAATTAAAAAATTTTAATAGATAAGTTATTATAAATTTCAACTATGAATGCTGAAACCAGATAAATCTCTTCTGTTATTATAATACAACTTTAAGTGTGTTTTTTTCCCTCCCAGGACATTTATTCAGAGCAGCTGGGGATCAACCGTTTAACCTGTCCACAGTGTCGAGTGCCTTCCCAATGGTCAGCCACCCAGTCTTTGGTCTACACTCAGCCAGCTCAGGGCATTCAGAATTTGGTGGTTTGGGGACACTTGGTACACCCACAGCCTTAGCCGCACATCCCCAACTAGCATCTTTTCCAGGTAAACATCTGTTACAGTCTTCAGGGAAAGGAGGAAAGCTTTAAAATGTTCAAGTAGTAATTTATGAAATTGAACAAAAAAGAATAGTCTAATGCCTGCTGTATTAGAACTCTTGTGCAAGAATTGGCTCGGTCTTATCACATGGGAAAAAAATGTAGCACGCTACATGTGTTAGATGGCACAGAAGTCAGTTGGGTATTCAGGTGTTTGACTAGATGAAGAGACATTTTCCACAGAAGGGGATAATTAAATCAGACTTTTCTGATTTATTTTATTGAAATACAGTATACAGAAAAGTGTACCTGTTTTAAGTGTAGAATTTAAATTTTTCTCAGCTTTGTTTGAACTTTTAAAAAATTACTAACTTTAGCTGAAGTTGTAGCTCAGTGGTAGGGCACTTGCCTAGTATGCATGCATGAGACCTTGGGTTTGATCCCCAACCCCGCTTTAAAAAAATTAGCTTGTAGTGTGAAACTAAAATTTGGTTCTTATAGCAAATATTTTTATATATTTATTTTGGATTCTTACGGAATTTCTTAAGGAAGTTAGGCTTGACTCTTAACTGTCTATATTTTGCCATGTCTGAAAAATATGTTTCAAAAACACTTGGAACATATTTATTTCTAAAACAACTATAGAGTTCCATCGTTTATGTGGCAAAGAGACCAGTGTTACATAAAAATCTACAAATCATAAGGATGCAGTAGTTTATTCAGATTTAAAACTTAGACAAACACGTTTTAATTTTTTTGTTATACTATCTTGAAAGTCTAAAATTAAGTGTATTTTCCCATGGTTAATTTTACTTTAATACATTTTAGTAAAGTTTGCATGTTTTAATATATGTAAAATACTTTAAAACATAAGAGCACAGTTCTAGAGAAAATGTATCTGAGTTTAAATCTGGCTTTGCTACTTTGTCATTGTGTGGTCTTGAATGTTATCAAACAGCTCAGCCTCAGTTTTCTCACCTGTAAAATGAGAATAATAATATTACCTGTCTCATAGGGTGCTTGTGAAGATTATAGGAGATGAGCATCTCCAATGCTGTATACATGGTCTGGCATACATAATTAGTACATAATTGATAGCTAATATTTTCTTTAATGGAAACGAATGTCTGTTTATACTGTATGCAGAAAGGATAGATGGTTAAATGTACGTCTCAAGTGTTAATTCTGGAGTCATTATTTCTTTAATTCCATTGACTTAGTGGAGAGTATGGAGGAGTATTATGTAGACATTTAAAACTTTAAGTCTAAACATTTCCTTTAAAAATATTAATAGGAATTTATTATGTTTCTAACATGAGTGCTTAGAAAGATGCTTCATAAAAAAGGTTTCTGAATAAAAGTCAAAATAGATAATAACTATAATGTAGATAGTTACTGATATCATTGTTTATTACACTACTGCTTTTGAGCATTTCTAAACTACATTGTAATTACCGTATTATTAATTCAAATATCTTATGTACTAGAATGATGGTTAATAAGTGTAAAAAATCATTTACCTGGGCTATAACAATGTTGGTACTTTTACGGTATTAAAAACAGCTTCTATAAAGTGCATAATTTCCCCAGCCTACATAAAATATTCATCATTCATCTGTTGGACCAGTTACTGAGGAAATACTCCAACACAGTATATTTCATGTTGCTTGTAGGTTTTAGGGGATGGATAGAGAGACAATTACAAGACCAAGTCTTTAGTGATGAAAGTTTGCTTGTGTGAGCAAACTTCTGTGCCAAATGGGCAGAGATTATGCCCGGTTTTAGAGGATTCATTTTGTTTAAATTGTAAAATTAACTAAATAACTTAAATATAAATTCTCTATAACTTGCTTTATCCAGAAGAGAAAGCAGATTGCCAATTTTAAAAAACTTTTTTATAAACAAATGGAAGACATTATTAGCAATTTTAAGTAAGGAATAATATATTTTTAAATTTTACATGCTTCTAAAGTATTCTTCATTTCAGAACAACAAATATAAAATTCAATAATTAAATTATTTTCATTTTATATTGAAATAGTATTTCATGGTAATTTCTTTAAAAATATTAATTCTTGATCATTACATTTTGATGTAATAAATTCTGTGACATGTGTGACTCTTCCAACTATGAATGACTTTAAAATTCATCCAAATCAGAGGCATGTTTGGTGCATCCCTGTAAACCTAGCACTCTGGAGACTAAGTCAGAAGGATCACAAGTTCAAGGCCAGCCTGGGTTTCATAGTGAGAACCTGTCTAAAAATAATAATAATAAAAAAAAAAATCTGCCAAGTCTCCCAGGTTCAAATTGAGAGTCAGTATATTCTCTGAAATACTCTAATCTAGTTGAAAGTGATTAATGTTGCTACTATGTTGGTACTTGTTTTGAATATGCTTTGAAATAAATCATGTACTGATTTCTGTCATCCTTATTTTGTATTTTTCATTTTATCAGTAATCTAGTTTGTATATGACTAAATTTGTTTTTTTATTTTCCTATATTTGAAAAATAAGTAAACTTGCCACTCAAATATTATAATGTTTCCTATGAAATAACAGCCAACATTTGTAAAGTTTGTCTTCAGAAACTGCACTATTTTCCTCTTTTTATTTAATTCACTTGCTTTGTACTTTGCTCTGTGATGTCACCTTATTCATAACATATAGTTTCCTATTTTTTCTCATTCCTATTATTGATTTTCTCTATTTTCTTCTGAGTTTGATTGTATCTAAAACATTTGAATCTTATGCTTTGATTACTTTATCAATTTGTAGTAGCCATTATCAACAAATGCTACTCTATCTAACACTTTAATTACAAACTATGTTAAGTGATATGAATATGGGAAACCATAGCCTGTTTGTTTATTTAGACAGGATTTCATTATATGGCCCAGGCTGGCCTCAGCCTCATGAACTTCCTGCCTCACCCTCCTGAGTGCTGGTATTACAGGGGAGCCTACCACACCTAGCTCAGTTTCTTTTTATCAGCTTAGGTGGAAGCTAATTTTCAAACCTATAAATAATACTAGGAATCAACTGCTGATAATCAGACCAAAACAAACAGTTTTTCTTCCTATTTAAATGAGTTTCTTTCATCTGAACAGTGGGTGAATAACAATTTTGTATAGTTATTCGTGGTTCAATCTCTATCGTTCAGGCATGGTTGACTATACATGGCTATCATTTTGCTATCAACACTTTCCTTAAATGCAGAAGAACAGTGCTTTCCGTTTTCTGCCTGTACTGTTTTAGACCTCTGAGGATGGCAGCGATTATGAACATTGCACTTATTTTTAAGCCAGATTTCAATATTAGATAATGAAGGTGCATATCCCTTAGCTTTGTGTTTTCAATGAAGTGGTATTCCTAGAAAAATGTTAAAGACCCTATAATACAGTACACTAGTAATATTGACTTCCTCCCATGCAGTATTGTGGGGCTTCTTGTGCTTGTTGCAAAGAAAAATATGCCATATCTTTTGGAAGACTGGCATGAAAGATAACTGATTTTGTAATTTATTGGACTAATTTATTGGATTAGTTAGTTGTAGATTGTTTCTGGGATTATATATAGGGTTATACAAAATGGTTCATTGGATGATTTTCAGATCTCATTTTAACCTTTGCCCTTGCTTAAAAACTGTATTCTATTAAAGTTGGCTTTCAGCCTGACAGTGCCTATAATCCCAGCTTCTCAGGTGACAGAGGCAGTAGAATTGTGAGCTCAACAAAGTTAGCAAGACCCTATCTCAAAAACAAAATACAAAAGGAAAAAAAATAAATAAAAGAGACTGGGGACATGCCTCAAATGGTAGAGTGCTTGCCTCCCACGCATGAGTTCTTGTGTTCAATCCCTAGTAACACGCACCCCTTCCTCCCCCACAAAAGTTGGCATTCTGCCTTTACTGAAAGTTTTTACTAAGAGCTACTGTTTGGTTATCAAGTGCTTTCCTCCGTAATGCATTTCAAATGTGCTTGATTGCAATAATCTGATAGTACATTTAAACCACCTGATTTATCAAAGCCAGGTTTATGTTATATAAGTTATAGATGTAGGCTTAAATTTTAAGGTCTTAAAACATTAATATGAACTTAAGTGTTTTTTTTATTAATTTAGAAAATGTATATATCATCAAAGAGAAATAGTTTTTTTATATTCTTAAGTTTTCAGTTTTATTTTTAAAACTGAAATACCTTTGTTCTTTAAGATTGAATCTAGGAAAACTGCTAAGTGAAGATCCTTGAATACTGGACCAATGAGTGTACAAGTTCTAATTAGCATTTCACTGTTAGAAAGATGATCAGAACTTTGTGAGTTGAGCAATTCTGTTCCTAGGGAAAGCTGGAAATATTTTTTCAGGACTAAAATATCGAGCAGTCATTTTATGAACTAGAAAGTTAATTCACATGTTTTTGTTTGGTTGGTTTGGTTTTGAGGTGCAGAATGGTGGCGAACAACAGACGTTCATACTCGTACAGCAGCACCCTACTTTCCACCATTACTGGGAATTCCACCGCTGTTTGCTCCTCCAGCTCAGAATCATGATTCTTCTTCATTCCATTCACGAACTTCAGGAAAAAGTCATCGAAATGGTCCTGAAAAAGGTACCCATATTAATATGAGGGAAATATTATAAATCTTCCATTCCTATACCTAATTTTAGTAGAGTCCAGGCTTAATAACATTTTCATAGCATCATGCTTTTACTTTTATAGTATCTTAATCCTTATAATAATTCTTTGAAATTACATATATCATTATTATTCAGCTAAGGTTAAATGGTTGCTCAAGAAAACACTGCTTACATATTGACACAGTTTTGTCAGGATTTAAACACACTTCCTCGACTTTTTTCATCTGTATCTGATTTATCTGCCTATATGCAACCTAGTATAATATATTACTCCTTCTGTAATTAAACATCAACTTCATCAATATCTGTTTTTCTTTTTAATGATACTAATGTTTGTACAATTGATAACTATTGCTAGAAAATCATTTGAAAATTATAACTCAGGGTCTAAGTTTCATTAGGCAGGAACTTTACAGTTTAAGCTATATCCTGAGCCCTATAATAGCATTTTAGATGGCTTGTTATTATCTTTTTAACTTGAATAAGTGTTATGAGGAGTTTAGTCTATAAAGGAAATACATTTAATCATCTTTCTAAATGTGTCTTTTTTAACTGAAGTGATATTCACAAATGTAATATTAGCCATTTGAAAGTGGATAATTCAGTGGGATTTAATGAATTCACAATGTTGTGCTGCCAGCACCTCTCTCTGTTGTTCTAAAACATTTCATCACTCTAAAAGGAAAGCCCATACTCAAGCAGTTGTCCCCACTTTGTCTCAGTGGTACAAGAGATACATCTTTGTATCTTTTCATAGATACATATTTTCATAGGTATATCCATTATGAATAGTTCATATAGATAGAATCATACAATATGCAACCTTTTGGTTATGCCTTCTTTCACTTACAAAGTTTTTGAGTTTTATCTACTACATCATTGAGTTTTATTGTACTACATCAGTACTTCATTCCTTTTTATGACTGAATAATATTCCATTATATAAACATGCTTGTTTTTTTTTCAAGGTGTAAATGGGTCAGTTAATGGAAACAGTACTTCATCTGTAATTGGTGTTAACTCATCTGTACTGTCCACAACTGCTTCAAGTTCCATGGGACAGACTAAAAATACAAGCTCAGGTGGAGGAAATCTAAAATGTAATCAGGAACATAGCAAAAACCAGCCTTTGGATGCTAGAACTGACAAAATCAAAGATAAGGTAAGTTATTCTTTGAAAGACAAATATATAATAGATCTATAAATAACAAACATTTTAAAGGTCATACCACCACAATCTGTGGATTAATTTTTTACTACCAACTCCTGTTTTTTGCAGATGTATATTTTTATGATATAATTCTATGTATCTTAAAAATAAAAAGTTATCTGCACCAGTATAAATAATAGGAATAGTAATAATGGACTAAAAAGTTTTCTTGGTGCTGAAAACACCAAGCCTGAAAACTGAAAGCCATAGGTTGAACCACCTATGGCTTTGTGCAGGCTCAGCGTGCACTCTGCTACTGAACAGCACTCCCAGTCTCAACAGATAAAATTAGTTGAGAACCTACTAGATACCAGCTCTGCTCTAACCGCTTTCATGTACTATTTATTTCAATTTTCCCTACATTCCAAATGTAGTAACTTGTTGTTATTACAAAATAATTGGTAAGTGATTGAGTCAGGATTTGAAGCCAAGCAGGTTGACTTTCTTTCCTCTGTACTGTACCCCTTATACATATTCAATGGTTATCACATCATGGCCATTTTTTTTTCCATCTATATCCCCAACTGTGCAAGCTATCAATTTATCATCTCCGAGTTCTAAATTCATCCTTTTCTTTACCAGTTGACATAAGGTTAGGCTTTACTGATAGAGGATTTTGGAAGAGGACAGGACTTCTGTTCTTGGCAGTGTTTTCTTTCCCATAAATTGTACATGCCTTGTGGGTGACTTTCTTGCCTTGTAATTTTTTTTTTTTCTGCTAGTGGTTATCAGGAGACTCAGTAGTTGTCAGGAGTATCAGTGCTGCACACCATCTAGTGAGTTTCCCTGGCCTCTCAGCAAGCAGCTTCTAAGCAAGGTTTCTTTGGGAACTGTTGGTATCTTTCTAGCACAGGTTCTCAGCGATGTTTTTCTGGCACCCTAGCAAGCAGTCTTGTCTCTTGTGTGCCAGCCTTGACCTGCGATACCTCATTGAGCAGCTCCACAATCCGTGGGCAGTAGTCACATCATCTCCAAGAACATGTGATGCTTAGGCTTGTGTGAATGGGGACTTGAGGAAAGAGGCCATCTTCCAAGATTGTTTTCGTTTCAGTGCTCTACCTCAGACCCACAGAAAAGTAGCTGATCTCCCGTTTTCCCTATTGCTGTGTTCTTTACAGGTCTCTTCATCTCACTTAGCAGTTAATCTTCTGTTACTAGTTAATAATTCTCTTTTTTCTTTTATGGTGTTTTTGAACTAGGGTCTTGCCTTGTAGCCCAGGCTGGCCTGGAACTTTGCCATTTGCTGTCCCAGTTTCCTGAGTGCTGTGATTACAGCCTAAGCCACTAGCCCTGGCTAGTTAATAATTCTTTATGTTAACATTTTCCTGGTTTCTCTCTTCTGACTAGATCTTGTCCGATATAGAATTGGTATCAGATGTGGGGTTAGTATGCAAATTGCACATAAATTCACAGCAATATTCTGATCCCACCAAACCTTTGGACTCCCTTCTTTACATTATGCCAGTGGAACCCTGGCATCTCAGCTTTATAAAATGTAGGGTAACCATTAAGTCCAAATTTTTCTGGACTAGAGGTATAACTCGGTGGTAGAGTGTTGCCTAGCATGCACAGGCCCTAGGTTTGATTCCCAGCACCACGAAGAAACAAAACCAAAGATTTCTTTCTTTTCACTGAGTATATTTCATAGAGATACTTCCTCTAGATTTCTCACTTTTCTTCTCAACAGAAGGTGGTTATTTTCCAAAATATAATCCACTCATTATGAGAGCTTAGGAGAAGATTATTTGGTGATTCTAAGAAACTTAATGGTACCCATCACAAAAATTCAGTGATATTATATGTACTTCAGCCCCCAAAGAAACATTTTCTTTCTACTTTATACAGCACTAAGCACATATACTTAAACGTGATGAAAGACTGGCTGTTTCTTCGTAGGGACACAGATTTCAGGGTCACACTCTGCACCTTTTGTTCTCAACTGCTTTTAGTTCTTCTCTCTTATGATTTGTTGTCAAGGCATTCCGATTAGTACAAGCAAAGGGCCTGTTGCTGAGCTGCTGCCACCTTCTCTGCATGACAGACAATGAGAGAAACATCACCTGTTCTTTTTTTTTTTTAATTTTTATTTTATTCATATGTACATACATTGTTTGGGTCATTTCTCCACCTTCCCCCGACCCATTCTTTACCCCACCCCCCGCTGCTCCCTCCCTTACTCCCCCTTATACCTCGCTACCATGCAGAAACTATTCTGCCCTTATCTCTAATTTTGTTGAAGAGAGAGTATAAGCAGTAATAGGAAGGACCAAGGGTTTTTGCTAGTTGAGATAAGAATAGCTAAAAAAGGGAGTTGACATGCATTAATTTCCTGTACATGTGTGTTACCTTCTAAGTTAATTCTTCTCTAACTAACCTTTTCTCTAGGTCCTGGTCCCCTTCTACTATTGGCCTCAGTTACTTTCATGTATCTGCTTTAGTTTCTCTGCATTGAGGGCAACAAATGCTATCAGGTTTTTTGGGTGTCTTGCCTATCCTCATAACTTCCTTGTGTGTTCTCGCTTTATCATGTGATCAAAGTCCATTTCCCTCGTTGTGTTTGCCCTTGATCTAATGTCCACATATGAGGGAGAACATACGATTTTTGGTCTTTTGGGCCAGGCTAACCTCACTCAGAATGATGTTTTCCAATTCCATTCATTTACCTGCAAATGATAACATTTCATTCTTCTTCATAGCTGCATAAAATTCCATGTGTATAAATACCACATTTTCTTAATCCATTCGTCAGTAGTGGGGCATCTTGGCTGTTTCCATAACTTGGCTATTGTGAATAGTGCTGCAATAAACATGGGTGTGCAGGTGCCTCTGGAGTAACCTGTGTCACAGTCTTTTGGGTATATCCCCAAGAGTGGTATTGCTGGATCAAATGGTAGATCAATGTTTAGCTTTTTAAATACCCTCCAAATTTTTTTCCAGAGTGGTTGTACTAGTTTACATTCCCACCAACAGTGTAAGAGGGTTCCTTTTTCCCCACATCCTCGCCAACACCTGTTGTTAGTGGTGTTGCTAATGATGGCTATTCTAACAGGTGTGAGGTGGAATCTTGGTGTAGTTTTAATTTGCATTTCCTTTATTGCTAGGGATGGTGAGCATTTTTTCATGTGTTTTGTGGCCATTTGAATTTCTTCTTTTGAGAAAGTTCTGTTTAGTTCACTTGCCCATTTCTTTATTGGTTCATTAATTTTGGTAGAATTTAGTTTTTTAAGTTCCCTAAATATTCTGGTTATCAGTCCTTTGTCTGATGTGCAGTTGGCAAATATTTTCTCCCACTCTGTGGGTGGTCTCTTCAGTTTAGAGACCATTTCTTTTGCTGAACAGAAGCTTTTTAGTTTTATGAAGTCCCATTTATCTATACTGTCTCTTAGTTGCTGAGCTGTTGGGGTTCCATTGAGAGAGTTCTTGCCTATACCTACTAATTCCAAGGTATTTCCTACTCTTTCCTGTACCAACTTTAGAGTTTGGGATCTGACATTAAGGTCCTTGATCCATTTTGAGTTAATATTGGAATAGGGTGATAAACATGGATCTAGTTTCAGTTTTTGCAGACTGCTAACCAGTTTTCCCAGCAATTTTTGTTGAAGAGGCTGTCTTTTCTTCATGGTATATTTTTAGCTCCTTTGTCAAAGACAAGTTGGTTATAGTTGTGTGGCTTCATATCTGGGTCCTCTATTCTGTTCCACTGGTCTTCATGTCTGTTTTTGACATCACCTGTTCTTGACTCCCATGCCATTTTAAAGCAAATCACAGACATCCTATGGCTGGGTGTATTTCTATAGGTATTTCTAAAAGTTATGCACCCATTCTTTTAAACTTACACTATCCTACCTCTTACAACCAGTGCTGAAATCTAGCAAAGTCTAAAATCTAAAATGTTCTGTGCCTCTGGAATTTCAAGGTACTGTGCAAGACTTTAGGAAGCATAAATACGAAATAGTTTCTGTCTTTATTTCTAATGAGTAAATATATTGACATCCAAAACAGAGTTAGAGCTGCTAAACTAAGGAACATTTATTTAAACTTACAGACCCCTCTTTATAATTTAAAAAGTTATTTAATACTGAGGTACCATAGCGATGTATGTAAACAGCTAAGTGAAAGTAATAGTATAGAGACATTGATAAGTTAAAATTTAATTAATCTTAAAGTAGACTTAAAGAGAATTTAATCTTACAATAAGATTTTATATAATCTTTAGCACTTTTGGATAATATATGGTCTGTCATAAGTTTGTGGCAATGGGTTTATTAAGTAAAATTGAGATGAAGGATATTGGAACTAAAAGAAAACTATGCTTTTTTATTCAACATTTTTCATTTTTAAAAGCCTGTGCAAATTGCTTCATTAGCTCTCTCATGTATAGTTTGGAAAAAATATTCTTCAGCTGAGTCTGATGTGCTTTCAGGGGGATGGAGTACTTATTTCAGGTATTCTCGCTGATGAAAGTTGAAAGTCATTGATGCAGTTCAGTTCTCTCATGTAGTCTGCTCATATATTTAGAATACGTACAGATATTTCGAATTAAGTTCAGACTAAATTATACAAACATACAGCCTCTTTGGGGGAAGAATAAAACAATTTAAGGTTGAATGAGTTCTGTTCCTGCTTCTATACAAATTGTTGTTCCCATGTAGCCAAAATAGTTTCTCAAAAATGTGACTTTTATGGCTTGAAAATACTATATTAAATGGTACAGCTGGTGTGGAAAATAACAGGGCAGTTCCTCAAAACATTTAAAGTAGAATTACAATATTGTCCAGTAATTCCACTTGCCATTATCTCTCCCAAAGAATTGAGAGTCTCAAAGACACATCTGTACATCGATGTTCATTATTCACAATCCCCAAAAATGTCTGATTCCATTTATATGAGGAAATTCAAATAGTTGGAATAGTGGTTTGCTAGGTGCTAGGAGAGAGATGGGGAGTTTGTGTTTACTATATTATATAAACTTTAAGTTTTAAAAGATGAAGAGTTCTGATGGTGCTGATGATTGTATAACATTATGAGTTTGTCTGAATTTGTATACTTAATAAATGGTAAGATTACAAAGTCTTTATTTTACCATTCCAAAATTGGAGGGAAAAAAAAATCACATACTATTGCTTCCTCTAATAGTGTCTGCCCTACTCAGAATAAAACTTTGCTTTTTATCAAGAACTGTATGTTCTGAACTTTACCAGTCCATCCTTTCTTATCTCCTGCCACTCCTGCCCCTGGTTCACTATGCTCCAACTAGTCTGCTTCACTTTCCATTTTGAACATGGGAAAAGTAGCCTTTTCTTTCTAGCTTGTGGCTTTTTTCTTTTGCTTTTTCCTGTCTTGAAATACTCTTATGCCTAGTACTTGTTCTTCCTTAGTTCTCTAGATGTTCACACCACCCCAGCTCCCAGGACATACTATCTTCTATTTCTCTGTTTTACTCATGGTATTTGCCACCCGCAACATTTATTTACATCACCTTTTGATTCTCTTCTCCCTGTTGTTACTAGGAGAGTTGATATCTGTTTTGTATACCTTGTATCCGCACAGATTTGAGCTTCTGTACCTAATTCATCAAAGCCTTAAATATATGTTTGTTTTGTTACTGGAAAAAAGTATACGGTGAAATACAAGTTCAAGGAAAGGGTTCTAAGAATTTTTCCTAAATCATATGGAAGGATGTTAGAAAGCTCTTCTTTGATCACTTTTTATAAACCTAAGAAGATTCTTTTAAAAAATGTTTTAAGTGAGAAAAAAAGAGACAAACTGTCTAATTGTGTGTGAATAACACACACCACACGCATAAAGCACTTCTCATAGTGCTTTTAGAAATGAAATTTCTAAATCCATTTCCCCTTTTTCCTAATACTTGCTTCCTCAGTTCACTGTTTTTAGTGTTCCTTTGTATACCATCAGCATATAGTTTTCAGAGACCACCAGCATCAGAATCACATTCAGTAGTGCTTATGAATGATGATCCCCATGCCATCTCAACAAGCATTGTGAGAGAATCAGCCTCCCTAATGCCTGAGAGCCAGCACCTCTAGATCCATTCCTGGGGAATGTAGTCACCATTTCTTATGCCATCTTTATTTTTTAGCAGCATTGGCAGCATTGAACTCAGGGCTAGGCAGGTGCTCTATTGCACTAGCCACACCCTTGGCCTTTTTTGCTTTGAGTTGCTTTTCAAATAGGGTCTTGCATTATTTGCCTGGGCTAGTCTGAACTGTGATCCTCCCACATGTGGATGACAGTCATGTGCCATCACATCCAGCTTATTGGTTAAGATGGAGCTCTTGCTAACATTTTTGCCCAGGCTGGCCTGTACCACCATCCTCCCAATCACTGCCTTCTGAATAGCTGATATTACAGGCATGAGTCACTACCCCTGATCCCATGCCATCTTTAAATACAAAATTATAGTTGGGCATCAGAGACTCACTCCTGTAATCCTAGCTACTCAAGAGAGAGAGATCAGGAGGATCATTGTTCAAAGCCAGCCCAGGCAAATAGTTGAAGAGATACTATCTCCAAAAAAAAAATCACAAAAAAGGGCTAGTGGAGTGGCTCAAGGTATAAGTCCTGAGTTCAAGTTCCAGTACTACAAAAAATATATAAAAATAAGTAAATAAGTACAAAATTATGCAGAGATTTCTTGGGCATTGAAATAGTTTTTCTCTGCCAAATCACTGTAGCTTCTTGACTCCTTTCCTTTCTCAGCCCCTACTAGCCCAAAAGTGATAACTTCAGTGTAGATTCATTATGACTTTCATGTCTTGCTGCACATGTTTAGAAACCCACAAACATATTGGTTGCAATGAATGAGCTGATTCTCTGCCAAGTAAGTGGTAGCTTAATATTAATACATTGTTCTCTCTCTTTAGTCTCTTCTTATAGTCTTCCTCATCCTGTTATTCCCGTATTACTCCAGTTTCTCATCCCTCTCTGCTTTACTCTGAGGGAAGGAGATAGATACTGCAGGGAATAATGGTGACTGTCAGATTGCTTATTGAAGGGTGTGTCTGTGGACTGGCCATTAAGATAGCTAGGCTCCAGCAGCAAACACAGTCACTGCAAGCAGAATGTAACAGAAATAGTGACCCTCATTCATGCATTTTGGTTTACTTCAGTCAGTCTTCAAAAGGCACAAAAGAAAGAGTATCAATTTGCAACCTGTAACTGTGTTTCAATTTGACTTTCTGTTAGAGAGGGTGCATTACTGTCTTTAATTCCCCAAATCCCAATAGTCATGAAAGACTGTATTTCTGTGAGCACCAAAAGCTTTAGTAATTTATTACTACTTTGGGGGATGTTTTTCTTTGCAAATGCCATTAAAATGGCCCATGTAACTGTAGGTCATGCTAATACTGTTGCTGTATCACTTTTCATCATTCTCCTTTCAGTCTTCCTATCAGTAGAGCTTTAACTTCTCAATTGCTGTAATTCGTCACATGATCTTTCTTCTTTTTAGCTACTTTTACTATTATCTGTTTTTTAAACAAAAAGCTCCTTTTATGTTACCTGTTATCCCTTTCTATGAAGTTTGGATTTCTCCCTTTGAATTCCCCTCTCAGATATTCCAGAAATAAATCTCGTTATCATATTTTTCTACCTTTTTTGATAAGAAATACAAAAAATTAAATTCTTTCATGCTAAATAAAGCAGCCCTGTATGTCTTTTCTTACCTGTTTTATCTTCTCTACAAAACTTATTGCTATATGAAATTACTTGGTTTTATATTAAGCAGCTGTTTACTTCTCCTCCACCACCACTAGAATGAAAGTTTCTTGAAAGCGAGGAGTCTCTCTTGTGCAGCTATAGGCAGGTACTGAAGAAGGAGTGTTTGGGCCATTATAGGCAAATATTTGGCCACTCACTCTCTGCTTGAAGAAATCTAAAGCCAAGTATTTAATTTCAACCTAAGAGTCATCATGAAATAATGATCTTGTGAGCTATTCTTTTTAATGTCATACATTTTGAAGCATAGCAGTCATATGAGTAGATCTGCGTGTTTACAGTATTGATGTTTCCAATATTCTACATGTGATAGAACTTGAAGATTTTATTAGTGCATTCCTGTCAGATAAGTTAATTTAACCAGTTTCTTACATAATTATATATGGGACTTTTTCCTTTTTCATAAAATGACATTTCAGTGTTGAAAATATTTGAAAATTAAAAGAGCATGCCTTTTGCAGAAATTTGATTTTTTTTCAAAAAATAAAGTCTTGTAAACTAATTTCTCTTTATTCAGAAACCAAGGAAGAAAGCTGTGGAAAGTTCTAGCAACAGTGACAGTGATTCAGGCACATCATCAGACACCTCAAGTGAAGGCATTAGTAGTAGTGATTCAGATGATCTAGAAGAGGAAGAGGAAGATCAAAGTATTGAAGAAAGTGAAGAGGATGATTCTGATTCGGAGAATGAAGCACAACATAAAAGTAACAACCAGGTATCAATTGTTTCATAGATAGTATGCAGACATAATTCATATTTAGAAATTAAATGGTTTACCATGTCTCTCAAAGTCTATAGTTTTATTATTCATATGTGCATACAAGGCTTGAGTCATTTCTCCCCCCTGTCCCCACCCCCTCCTTTACCTCCCACTCCGCCCCCTCCCCCTCCCCCCTCCCCCCTCAATACCCGGCAGAAACTATTTTGCCCTTATCTCTAATTTTGTTGAAGAGGGAGTATAAGCAATAATAGGAAGGAACAAGTGTTTTTGCTGGTTGAGATAAGGATAGCTGTATAGGGAGTTGACTCACATTAATTTCCTGTGCGTGTGTGTTACCTTCTAGGTTAATTCTTTTTGATCTGACCTTTTCTCTAGTTCCTGGTCCCCTTTTCCTATTGGCCTCAGTTGCTATAGTTTTAAAGGTAGTCACCTGGAGCTCTTACTTTTGTATACAAAAGTTCAGGAGAGATAGAGAACCATTTATAAAAGGTCATTAGGTGTATTTTTAGAGAACTTATATTGTGTGTCTATCATAAAGTCATTAGGAACACTTTTTAAAGTAACTTTTTCGCAGGTTTTATTATTTGACGCTCTTGATAGATGTTAAGAAGTTGCCTTTTAAATTTTATTTCCAGGTGCTATTGCATGGTATTTCAGATCCAAAAGCAGATGGACAGAAAGCAACTGAAAAAGCCCAGGAAAAAAGAATACACCAGCCATTACCTCTTGTGTCTGAACCCCAGACTCATTCATCATTCCAATCCCAGCAGAAGCAGCCTCAGGTTTTGTCACAGCAGCTTCCATTTATTTTCCAAAGCTCTCAGGCAAAGGAGGAATCTGTGAACAAACACACCAGTGTAATACAGTCTACGGGATTGGTGTCCAATGTGAAACCTTTATCTTTGGTAAATCAAGCCAAAAAGGAAACCTACAGGAAACTCATAGTTCCTTCTGCTGATGTACTTAAAGCAGGGAATAAAAATACCTCTGAAGAATCTAGTTCTTTGACCAGTGAATTGCGAACTAAACGGGTGAGTTAATTATTTACATAAGAATTTTAATATTAGAAAAAGACAGAGTGGGCTTGGGCATGTAGCTCACTAATAGAGCATGCTTACCATGTGCAAAGCCCTGAATTTGATTCCAAGCACCACGGTACTGGGATTTGAACTCAGGGCCTTGTGCTTGCTAGGCCAGCACTCTGCCCCTTGAGCCACACCTCCAGCTCCCAAAAACCTTATATAATGTAAATATATACAGGTTTAAATTAAATTCTCTTTTTTTTGTACTTTCTTAGTCTCTACGAGTAGAATATGTACATCAGAAAATTAAATTTCTCTGATTTTATGCAGATGTAACCCAGTGGTAGAGTACTTGCCTAACACATCCAAGGCCCTGAGTTCAGTCCCCAGCACAGTGAAAAAAATTGATCTTTCTCTAATTTATATTCACATATACATCTGTTAAACATATTTTTGACAACACAATTGTGTCATACTACCCTATCCCTCACCTCTTGGCCTGCTGTATTAGCAGTAAGGCAATAAGTATGTTTGAATGAGACAAGTTCTATAATTACCTTTGTTTAAAATTAATATCCTTTTTTTCTAATGCTAATGTTCTTTTTTTAAGGAAATGAACTCTTGAGATATTTACCTCTATAGTTCTAGAACTTATAAATTTCAAGTGAAAAATCCTTTAAAATGAATTATTTTTCCACTAGACATGGTAGTATATCCCAGCACTCAGACTGAAGCAGGAGGATTATGAGTTCCTAGCATGAGGTACATAATATAAAACCCTGGCTCAAACAAACAAATAAAATTATTTTCCAAGCTTGGAAAAATAATACATGGCTACATTACCATTCTACTCAAAATGCTGAGGCAGGAGGATTCTTTGAGCTCAGGGGTTTGAAGCCAACCTCAATAAAAAGAAAAAAGAATTCATTTTCCTTTGCAATTCTTAATGAATTATATGAAATGTAATTTCTACTTGCATATACACCAGAAGCAATTTTCTTATGTAGAAGCAATCTTTAAAGAATTTTTTATCTTTATTTTGTCTTGCTATTGGTTCATATGTCCATTAGAATTATTAGAATTCTAATAATTAAATCAACATTGCTTTATATTGTAGAAAATACTATGACATAGTATCTTGTCTCTTGGTTCTGTTTATTATTATTAGACTTTCTTAGTTGTTAGACAACACTTGTAGAGCATTGACTAGCCATTGTTTTAAATGCTGAACATGCATTTACTCATTGGATAATAACATCTACAAGTGCTAATACTATTATTCATTCCATTTACAGGTGATAAAATTGGGATTTGTCTAACTCAATTTTAAAAATTAATTTAATTTTATAAAGTAGCTGTTACAGGATCACACTGCTGGTTAGTGATGAAGTTAGAATTCAAACGTAGAGTTATGGTACTAGAGTACTTACTCTTTTTTGGGGGGAGGGGCTGGTTAGTGCTGGGCTTTGTTGCACTCTACCATGAGCTACCTTCTGGGGCCGAGAGCCCTTATTCTTAACAGCTATGATAAGCTGTCTTCTTTCTCAGAAAATTTGCAGTGTCCTTGTCTATTAACTCTTCCATGAAAAATTTAAGAACTGGGTCAAAGAAAAGTGTCTTAGAAACCAGCCTTTTTTGATAATCTAATTTTGAGGTTCTCAAGTCAAATGTACTTCAGAATAACCTGGGAAACTTTTAAGAAATAATACCTTCACAACAGTTAAATGAAAACCTCTTGTAGTGAAACTGAAGTACTAGATTTTTAAAAGCTTCCAAGGTGGTTAAAATTTATATTCAGATTTGAGGACCACTAATCTAAATACAATAACTAATGGCACCAGAATATCATGCAAATAAATTGTAATGAATGCACTGCTCAAACATAAGGAAGTATTATCAACATCACATTATTTACTTTCTGCCAGTAAAATAAGCAAATTAAGAATTACATTGAATAGAATTACACACCTGTAATCCCAGCTACTCAGGAGGTGGAGATTGGGAAAATTGTTGTTTGTGGCAAGCCTGGGCAAAAAGTTAGTGAGACCCCCATCTCAACCAATAAACTGTGCTTGGTGGTACACACCTTTCATCCCACCTGCTTGAGAGATAAATAGGAGGATCATGGTCTAGGCTGGCCCAGGCAAAAAACACAGACCCTACTCAAAAAATAACTAAAGCCATAAGGGCTGGGATGTGATTCAAGTGTGGTACATTGTTTGGGTTTTAACTTTAAATTTATGTATTATCCCACTTTAAGATAAATGAATTTACAGGACCATGTCAAGAATTAACTTGTATTCCAAAAGATGGCTTAATTTTTTTCAAATGGTTTCTTAAGTATTTCAATAAATAAGAATTTATATGACTACTTATTAGAAAGTCATTTATTAAATATCTGCTTAATAAATGCAGTCCAGCTAAGCTTTGTACATATGATCTTATTTCATCTTTACCAAACCTGAAAAGAAAGAAATTATATGATGTTACTTGGTAATATCATATAACAAGTTAAGGACAGAAGGGATTTGAAAACAAGCATTCTAATTTTTAAAAAAATTGATATTCTTTACTATCTGGGGACCATTTAGAAAGTGTAATAAAAATTATTGAAAATGACAGTAGTGGTTATTTGAAAATCTTTCATATGGATTAGATTTAGCTTTAAATGATATTATCTACTCTTTATCAGTACCTCGTATTGAATTAGAGGGTATTTTATAAACATATCTCTTAAAATTCCTATCTTCATCAATATAACAATCTAACATACAGAATTCTACCTTATTTCTTATGCTTTCATTTATGTCATGCTACTTGCTGTGACTTCATCTGCCATCCACATTACTTTATGATTTTCTTGAGTGTTATTTTATCATTGGCTTCTTCAATAATTTACACTGTAGACCTGTAATTCAAATTAATATATATGAATTGGATATATAGACCAGGAGTGGAATTTGGTATGTCAGTCACGTTTGATCTGGAACATTATTTACAGTCTGCAGAAACTTAAGACAGGGGCTGAGGAAGGACGAACTTGCACATAGAATAGATCTTCAAGCCTGTCTCTTTCCAGCCTACTGTGATCCAAATGGATATCTTAAAACAGTAAGAGATTCATTACTGTACAGGTCTCAATTACCTTTCCATGTTGTTTTACTTACTACCCAGATATCGGAAGAACAATATGTATATTGTAAAAGATTAACTGATAGTACGCAATAACCTTTGGTTATTCTTAAAAACCTATACGTATAAATGTATGGGGAGTGATTCTTTAGAATTATGGCAAGGAACAAGTGCAGAAGACTAAAATATAAATATAAAGGAGAAACTGATTTTCATGCCTATAATTTAAAAAAAAAGCGCAAAATGATTACATAAAAATTGCATTGAAAATTACTATATTTTTTCTGCTAGATTTTAAATCTTGCATATTTTAAAGTATTATTTTGTAGGAAATCTTGCTATAAAATTTCTTTTAAAAGGTAGGTCCAAGAATTTCATAAAATTTTCCATTTTATTCACTGAGTAAATGCTAACTAAACACTTTTGCTTTGTGAGGTATTGCCGTTGATATGCATGTGGCAGTCTTTGTTTAAAAGAGTTATCTGAGTAACTTAATTTTCTAAACTAACAATAATGATAAGTAAGGTGGAAAAGTTTGTGTAGAAATTGCTTTGCTACTTGTTAGTTCTCTGCTTTGAGATATCTAATAAGTCATTTTATATAGCATTCCATCTGTATCTGCACTTATGAAGTCCCCATCACAATTCTTTGCTGAAGAGTTATGGGGCCCAGGTCTGATTCTGACAACACTGCTGATTTTAATTTCAAAGCAGTCATTTTCAGTGTGGAACTTTACCTAAGTTCAACTTCACTTCTGTTGACTTAAAATACTTTAATAATCCTAATTCAGTTTGTTTTTATAAATTATTTTAATTATACTGATGGAATAAAGTTTCATGGTTTTATTGTTTTCAAGGAGGTTCTAATATATAAATACTTTTGTTTCTTACTTATCGATAAAATTTTATGACTTAATAATTCATAAATTAATTTTTCCCAGGAAAATTATTACTTAATGGTTTACTTTTCAAATGTTAATATGCTGAAGTCACTCTAAAGTAAATTGCACAGAATGTGGACCCACCATTCACCTCAGCTGAATTTCTTTTTTTCCCAGTGTTGGGTATTGACCCAGGGCCTGAGCATGCCAAGCAAGTGCTATACCGCTGAGCTACACCCCTAGCCTCATATCTTAAATGTTTGCTTCCAAGAAACTTTTACTGCTCAAAACATCTTCCATTCATCAATCTAGGATTGTTCTGGAGTACATTCCAAGTGCAGGGCTCTAAGTAGTATTTTGGGAAGATAGAAATGAGACTGTCTCTGCCTTAAGAAACTCATCAAAAATGTAAACTTAATCTCCTTAGAGTCTTGAGGTATACAGGCCCACACTATATATAATAATAGTAGTGTGACTTTGATACATACATACTTTTAGTTTACTATTTTAAAATAGTATGGAATATAAGCACGTAAAGGTGCTCAAAAGATAGAAGCAAAGAGTGCTTCTGGCCAGGGCAAACATCAAAAACCTCTTGAGTTCCATCTTGAAGAATGAGCAGTATTTCATCAGTTTGAAATTTAGGAGAGAAGGATATTTCATACAGACAAATGGTTATAGCAAAATGCAGAGTCAGTGAAAATATGAGAGTCATAGTCTGATTCAGCTGGAAAGGTATGTTAAAGGTATGTTATACCTAATTATGAAGTAGTTTGAATATTAAAGTGTAGAGTTTATAAAGTTGGGTATGTTCCAATAGGTAATACAATAATAAGTTTTAATCTGATATAAAACTGACATTGGTATATATTGTATATTGGGAGTTGGATGGGAAGAAATAAGAGCAACGGTAAAGACAGTCAGGAAGTGTACATGTTTTGAGTGGGAAAAACTAATTAAATTTTAAATGTATTAGGTGTAGTCAAGGTTCAGCAGTCAACTAGTCATTCATTGCTGCCACTCTGTTATATCCCTTGTGTATCATGATCAAGATTTATCTTATGAATGACTGTTTGTATTGAAAGTAAATAAAAACAATTTTCCTCTCATTTTGTTTTGTTTTTTAACTTATGTTTCAACAGGAACAATATAAACAGGCATTCCCATCACAGGTAAAGAAACAGGAATCATCTAAGAGCCTGAAGAAGGTTATTGCAGCTTTGTCCAATCCAAAAGCAACCTCTAGCTCACCAGCACATCCAAAACAAACATTAGAAAATAACCATCCTAATCCATTCTTGACAAACGCACTTTTAGGTAATCACCAACCAAATGGAGTTATTCAAAGTGTCATTCAAGAAGCTCCTCTAGCACTTACTACCAAAACTAAAATACAGAGTAAGATTAATGAAAACATTGCTACTGCAAGTAGCACCTCCTTTTCCTCACCTGTAAATTTGAGTACAAGTGGGAGAAGAACCCCTGGCAGTCAGACACCTGTAATGCCCTCTGCCTCGCCCATACTTCATTGTCAAGGGAAGGATAAAGCAGTTAGCAATAATGCAAACATTTTAAAAACACAACAAAACTCCCATTCTGCAAAATCTTTGGTAGAACAATTTAGAGGAACAGATTCAGACATTCCCAGTAGTAAAGATTCTGAAGATTCAAATGAGGATGAAGAGGAAGATGATGAGGAAGAAGATGAGGAAGATGATGATGAAGATGAATCTGATGACAGTCAATCAGGTTATTTTCTGTTTTAAAATTATATGCATGAATGTTGTGTGTACCAAAGCATTTAAAAGATCTTAATCCACAGATTTAAAATCATCGTGATTCATTGTTTCACATAGCTTTGTGCATTTCTATAACGAGTTGATAAAATATAAGAGTAATTGATATTGGAAATTCCATGTTAAATTCTTAGCTTGTTATTCATCTGACATAAGACAAGTAACAATTTCAAAATGTATATATTGATGCATGAATTAAACAATTTTATCAACTTTCTTAATTTTCACTCCATTCAGGACCACTTATTTGTCCTTTTTTCCCATTTCTTTTGCTGCTTGTTCAAATATGTCACTAGATTTGTTGAACAAATGTAAAATTTTGGTCACATTATTAGAAAGTACCAAAAATTCAAATCCTTATATACGGCCATCAGTAACATAAAATTTACTAAGTAATATATGGGGTTATGGAGCAAATCCCTGATTTAATTTTGATTCACTTTGTAGGGCTTCTTTTTTGGGGGGTGTTATTTTTAAAAACATAAAATACAAGATGTTTTAAATTTTTAAATATAAAGATGAGATAAACATTTTTAAAGTTTGTGTATTTGTTACTGGTCAGCTACAAATTTAACTAAAATTTCTAGTAGTTGATGTGAATAGGAAGATATATTCAGTTATCCAATATAAAATGTCTTTAAGTTAAAAACAAACTAGTTTTTTCATGCATATCATGCACGATAGTTAGTGAATATCAGTGTTAACAGCTTTTAAAAACTTTTACAATGACGCTCAATGTAGGCAGATATTACTGTATCAAATCAATTCCCAAGTGGTGGTATTCTGGGAATCTTTATGATTCACTCCAAATCTCAGTCCTATGTTTATCTAAGGTTTCATAATTATACTCATATATTTTACATGCATAGAGGAGTAAATGCATTATACATAGGACTCCTATCTATGGCAAATTTACATTATTAAACCACTGATAAATCTACAATAATTATTTCTGTAGACCTAGTTTTATTGTAGAGCCTGATGAAGACTTGTGCCTAAGTAGAAAAACTACAACCAGAAAAACAACCAACCAACCAAAAACAAAACAAACAGACAAAAACAACAACAAAAACATAAAACAAACCAGGAATCTCCCTTTGAAAATTATTTTCTTTAACCCCAAATCCCAAATGAAAGACTAGTGGTAGTTCCTATACTGACCTTAGAATGCTTTGTAGACCATTGGAATTTGCTCTTTTAGATAGTTACCTTAGTTTCTCCATTGGATTAAAAGTGATTTTAAAGCCATTAAACAGAACTCATCATGTTAATATTGTCATGTGAGAAGAACTGTTTTGTGATTCCAGTGTTTAGTCAAATTATAATTTTAAAAAGAATTTTAAGGATTTATAGCCTAAATCATTGTACTCAAATAGCTTATGAGATGGTATTTTTACATTGACTCTGGAAAAGTTGCTTGTTTGGATTCCCAATCATGGATACTGGTTCTGAACTATTCCACTTAGATTCAAACTGCAAATTATTGGTCATTAACTAGTTGTAATATTCAAGTGCTTCTTTACTTCCCAGAATCAGATAGTAATTCAGAATCAGATACAGAAGGATCAGAAGAAGGAGATGATGATGAGAAAGACCAAGATGAATCAGATAGTGATACGGAAGGAGAAAAAACATCAATGAAACTGAATCAAACAACTTCCTCTGTCAAAAGCCCTTCCATCAGTCTCACAGCTCACTCAACACCTCGTAACCTCCACATAGGAAAAGCCCCAAGCTCTGCTCCTGCTGCCTTATGTTCTGAATCCCAGTCACCTGCTTTTCTTGGCACATCTTCTTCCACACTTACTTCAAGTCCACATTCTGGTACCTACAGTTTATTTTTATTAATGTAAATAGAAGTCAGATCATAGCAAAAATTTATACAGTATTCTGGAGATGAGCTCATTGAAATCAAATATTGCACTTAGATTTTAGGTTGGCTAAGAAAGGTCAGCATATATTTTCAAAGGATATAACCCATTGCCTGATCCTTTCAAAAAATTTTCTGTGCTTTCAATTTTAAGAATATAATTGATGATAGCTCTTGATTTTGAATTCTTTCTTGTTTTGTGTTATCTGTGCTTTTAGTATGTAGAATTCAGTTGACAACTGGACTTTTTGTACTTTATAAAAAGATCACTTTGGCAATTGTGTGTCTGCCAAACTTATAGCTAATATATTTCTATTAGTAACATTCTTACTCTGTTGCTAACATGCCATGACTTTTTTTTTCTATGTGCTTTTATAAATTTCTAGAAATCTTTATTAAAAATTTCTGCTTTTAACATTCCAGAACTACGCTCTTTTCTCATTCAATAACTAAAAAAATAAGATGTGTATAGGAAAATATTGTTATTGTTTTACTTATTTCCCCATCTTAGTAATTTCTAGTTTTGCTTTCACTTACCACAAATCATTGGTATCCTACTAATTTAAGGTGAATTTATGTTTGTGAAACTTAGTTTTTATCTTTTAAAAAATTACATATAATCATAATCGTATTCCTATGTTAATTAAAAGACCTAGTAATGGTTGGGTGGGGTGGTTCATGCCTGTTAAGAGATTGGGGGGGATCATGGTTCAAGGTCAGGTTCTACAAAAAATTTGTGAGAAACCATCTCATCCAATGAAAGTGTGGCATGATGGTGCACACCTGTCATTCCAGCTAAGTGAGAAATGTAGGGTCCTGGTTCAGTCTGGCCCGGGCATAAACATGAGACCCTATTTGAAAAAGAAATAAAGCACAAAGGGCTGGGACTGTGGTTCAAGTGGTAGAGCACCTGCCTAGCATGTACAAGCCTGATGTTCAAACCCTAGTATTGTGACACACACACACACACACACAGAGAGACCTAGGGCTGGCAGAGTGGCTCAAATGGTAGAGTGCCTGCCCAGAATGCATGAGACCATGAGTTCAAACCCTAGCACCCCCCCCCAAAAAAAAAAAGACCTAGTAGTATTTTTAAGCATGGATGTTTATGTACATAGAAGTTAAATTGTCCTAAAATGCATGAGCCGGCTGTTGAAACTTTTCAACATCTGAAAAGCTATATATTTTCAAAGAAAACAACTGTAAATAGGTTTTCTCAAACTTTAATTTACTATTTCCCACCTTCTTTCACCATTCACTAATAACAAAATGAGAGGAAAGCTTTAGTGTACCTAGGATTGTATTTTGTTTAGGAAGGGAAGCTAGTGATTCTGTCATTTAGACTAAAAGGGAACAAAAACCTTGGCCTCATACAGTGTGTTTTCTTGAAAACCATCTAAAACTTATGTATGAATTTGAGAAATACACTAATAATTGATGTCATTAAAATTTATTTTTTAAAGAAAAGTTTCTAAACTGTCATCTATATAAATTAATCTTTCATATTAACTAGTTGAATTTTCTTAAAGGCACTTCCAAAAGAAGAAGAGTAACAGATGAACGTGAACTACGTATTCCTTTGGAATATGGGTATGCAAAATATGTTTTTCTCTTTTGTTTTCCTCCAGATATTTATGCATGTTTTTGATATGTGCTTGATTTCTCATTTTCTACTAATAATAAAATCAGGGAATATACTGAATAGTATTAATTAAAGCAGAAGAGCTAGAACAAAAGGCAAAGAATTTGATTGATCAGAAAACTAAATTTACCCTGATGTGTGTAGTATGCACAGCAGAGCTGGGAAGGGCTCATGGAGCCAAGTGGGAATATGACTGAGAAGAAATCAAGCACGTCATAGCAAAGAGCAAGATTGTCAGAAGTTTTTGTGTAGATAGAATTAAAGGACAGTGGACAACATTGCAATGAAAACTGAGGGACTCGAGCAGAGATTGTCAAAAATGGTTTAATTGGAACTAATACAAGTTTCAGATTGAATATACTTGAGCCCCACGAGGTACTTCCAAACTTAGTCTCCTCACTTAATATTTTTCAAATGTAAAAGTGTACATTGTCACATGTTACTAAATATGTTAAGTACTCAAAGTGATTCCAGTTACAATTTCTGAACAGTTGAATAGTTTAATGTTAATAAATTCAGTCTGATTCCTTTTGTAGATGGCTTATTTAGCTAAAAATAAAAATAACTGTAAAAGTAATCTATTTGTGTTGTATGATTAGGTTTATTTATTTTTTTGTATTTTATGCTTTCTAAAGAACATGTGCAGTTTATATTTCTTCTAATTTTAAAAGCTTTCTTAAAATTATATCATAATCCTCATTTCTGTTACATGTAGCTGGCAGAGAGAGACAAGAGTAAGAAACTTTGGAGGGCGACTTCAAGGAGAAGTAGCATATTATGCTCCATGTGGAAAGAAACTTAGGCAGTACCCTGAAGTAATAAAGGTACATACTTTTCGCCAAATAAAATACCATTAAGCACGCTCATGTAAATAAAAAGTATACTCCTTTCTCCGATAAAGTTCTTTAATACAAAATATTCTCATACGTGGATCTTACATACTTAACCTATATTGGTCTCCAGAAATCCATAGCCTCTTTAAAGAATATGCAAAACATTAGTGTCCTGAAGCTCGCTTTACATCAAAACTGGGTTGTAATTATTAAAACCTGAAGTGGAAAAATATGTGATTTTTTCAGTATCTCAGCAGAAATGGAATAATGGATATCTCAAGGGACAATTTCAGCTTCAGTGCAAAAATAAGAGTGGGTGACTTCTATGAAGCCAGAGATGGACCGCAGGTATCCAATTTTTAAAAAGTACAGTTTTTGAACCAAAAAAGTAGTACCATAACCTAAATGCAGTAAATTTCACTACAAACTAGAGCAATGCCTTTTGTAATTAATTTTCATAGATATACATATAATTTTGTAATAAATACTCACCAAAGTTTCAATTTACTATGTGACAAGGAGCAATTTACTATGTAACTAGTAACAAGGAACTTTGACAATTGATCTCTTTTTATATTTAAGTGATTTTTCCTGTCAATCTATAATTTTACAGTTTATGTAAGTATCTGCATATTATTATGAAATATAGGGAAGAACACTAATTCCCTGAAAGGTTGGATAGTTTCTTAAGAACTAATTTAAGTTGGAAAACCATGTTATAAGTCACTCCAAAAGAAGATAAATATGCTTTACTGTTTTGGAATGGCCTTGTCTATCGGGTCCTGCCATACTACATGATACATTTTCACACATTTTATAATTTGGGATGTGGGGATCCTTAAAGTTAGGTGAGCAAAATTTCTGGGGTTTACAGGAATAGGATTTTTAAATTTTATGCACATTTTTTAACATATCACTACAGCTTTTTTTTTTCCCCTGATACTGGGAATTGAATTTAAGACCTCCTGTTCATAGTTAAGTGCTCTACCACTTGAGCCATGGCCTTAGTCCTTTGCTTTTAGTTCATTTTCAGATTGAGTCTCTCACTTTTGTCAGACCAGCCTTGGCCTGTGAACCATCTATCTTTGCCTCATGAGTACCTGGGATCACAGGTGTGTGCACCACCAAACCCAGCTTGTGATAGAATCTTGATTACTTTTGCCCAGGATGGCCTCAAACTGTGACCCTCCTATCTCTTCTTCTCCAGTAACTGGGATTATAGTGATTATAGTTTACTATAGCTCACTTTGAGCTCCTTTTGAGTTTATGGATTAAATACACAACCTCACCAGTCAGCAAGAAGAATTCATTCCTTTATCTTCCCTTCAGTATTTGCTCTTGTCTTGTATTTAACTACAATTGCTTATTATTCCCCTTTATTAGCTTCATCGAAAGAGTTCCTAGTTTAGGCAGTGATGAGACCTGGATTCTTGATAATTCACAAAATAATTTTGTGATTCTGGAAAACAGAAAAATAATGGCCTATTTTCTCCCATTTCTTTATCTCTCAAAAAAAGACAAAAATAATTATGATTTTGCCTAAAAGGATTATGGCAAGGTTAAAATGAGATTATATGCATAAAAATGTTTTAGGAAGACTAGAATGTTTAGCCAACTGAAGTTGATATTTTCTTTCTTGATTGAACCTTTGTCCTGTTTGGTCCATTACTAGTCACAGAAAAAAATCTTTTCTGGCAACTAATATTTTCTTTGTAAATAGGCAGGATTTTCTATTCCATCTTACCCTATAAATTTTTTAGTGGTAGAAATGGAGGTTTATTTCAAGAGCTGAGAAGATTAAGGAAAATTTCCAAGGTCACATAGCCTCATCGAGGCACAGATATAACTAGAACTCAAAGTTCTGAAAAAGCATTTTCCATTGTTGTCTTTTTAAAGAATAATTTATGTCCAGATCCACTTATCTTGTTACTGGTAGTTCTAAAATGCCAAAATCTGAGGTGTAACTTCGTTATAGAAATATATTATGAGACTTTTAATTTTTTCATTTTTTAAACTTAAAAAAATTTGATCTACACTAAATCTATGATCATATTCTTAGAATTTTAGTGAACCTCAGTGTTATTTTATACAGGCCATATGTACTGGGTCAGATTTTAGTCAAAACAAAATACATTCAAAGTCAATAACTTTTTAGAAATTCTTTTATTTTTTGATCTTTGGTTTATGTCATCAGTTCCTTACCCATCTATTATACCAAAAATATCCTTATGGGGGGTTAAGGGGGAGGTGACCCAAATAATGTATACACATGTAAGTAAATGTAAAAATGATAAAATTTTTTTAAAATGCAGAGAAGTATTCAAAAAAAAATCCTTATAGTCTTAAATTCAGTAGGTTTTTGCTCTGAGAGGAAAGCTAATTGGTTGTTAATACATAAAGGATTTTTAGTTTTCTATCAATAGACTTAATCTATAAACCTCATTACACATAACAGAATGTTCTTTGGCATTCATTCACTTTTTATTAAACATAATCAGTATTTTTCAAACACATATTATCTTATGAAATCAATTCCAGTCATATGTGAAGCTGCCAACATTTTAGCAGAGTGCTAGAGAAAAAAATAGTAACAATTTGAGAGTACTTCTCTCAGTCAAGAACAAATTAGTAACCTGGATTCATTACAGGATATTTTTAAAGAACAGCAGTTAAAGGTAAATAATATAAAAAATTGTTTTATTTAAATTAAAAATGCATATAATTGCGAAGACATTTGTTTCTGTATACTGTGTGATTTACATATGTAAGTATATGGCTAATTAGAAATCTTTATAATTATGTAAGAATTTTCTATGAAAATTAACAAAAGTTGTATATTTCTGTTACATAACTACAATGTGAAATAATTTTTATCAGCCTATATTTTCTAGACGATGTGAAATAAAGTTTGGCTCAAAGGCGCAGTTACCAGGAAATAATAATTATCTATGTATATGGTATTTCTAACTTACACAAATTGTATAAATAATTTGAAGGCTAAGCATGTATGAAAAAGCAAAACTGCAATCTAATACAGAAGGAAATGTGTGAAAACTTTAACAATAGTTGTATGAGTTAATGGTACAGTGGATAATTTTTTCTTTTTTTTGTTTTCTACAAATTTGCATATTTCCTATTTTCTTTTGTTTTAATGGAACACTTCACATATTTGCAGGTCATCCTTGTGCAGGGACCATGCTGATCTTTCCTGGGTCATTCTAATTTTAGTGCATGTGCTGCCAAAACGAGCACTGTTTTCTGCTCTGTAAAACTTGGTTATGTTATCTTTTAAAATAATGCTTTTCCACTCTGTACTCTAAGAAAGCTAAGAATTCAGTGTTTTCTATGGAAATTGTACATAATGATTTTATATGTCTAAGTTTGAACTTTCTATTTGGTATTTGGTACCAAATGAAATCCTACATTGTAGATTCGTTAACAGTCTTAGTCACTCTCCAAATAAAATTCTTTCCTTAGGAATTTATTTTCTCCATCATATTTTTCCTTTTCTTCTTAAAACATACCATGAAATTAACCAATACAAGTTTATAAGTTTTACTTAAGACATTGCAAAAATCACATCAGTGATTTTCCAAAGTTCCATATTTTATAGATGAAATTTAGGAGATAGTAATCTGCTAACAGGTAACACTTAAAATGAACAATAGTGATTCTTTTGTAACAATCATATTTGATTCAAGATAATTACATTTTATAAACAAAAAGGATTTGTTGAAAACAGTGATATTACAGTACAATAAGATGAAATGTATGAGACCTCAAATTTATTGAAATTTAAATTAATTGATCCTTACCAAAGGATAGCAATCCAATGATTACCTTTTAAAATCAGAAACAAGGGCTGGTGACATGGTTCAAATAGTAGAGCTCCTACACAGCCCTGAGTTGAAGCCCCAGTACTTCTCTCCCCACCCTGAAAAAGAAAAAAGAATTCAGAAATCCTTATCTCAAGTGAATAGGGTTATAAAAGAAACAGAAATTAAACATTTGCTTACCAGTTTTTAAATTATTAGTTTTATTTAATTCAGTCCAGAATTGTGGTGAGAGATTTGTAGAATCAGCCATTCGTCAGCATCTACTGATGATTACATTTCAAACACTTCTTGGCAATATATAAAGACCTTACTATTAGGGATGAGAGATCTCATGAAACTCCAACAGTCTCTAGAAGTCCATGCTACACAAGCTGGCTACCTTCTAATGAAATTCTTTTAGCAACTCATTTGAAAAGAGTGTAAGGTAAATAGATTTTTTTAAAGATCTATTTACTTTTTAAGAACTTGTTAAATGTAATGTTTGTAATTGTTTTAATTTAATTTTATTTTTTGATTGTCAGAATAATAGAAAGTTAGGTTGAGCTGGACAGATTTTGATAAATATAAAATAGAATTATTTTTGTTTACCTAAATGTGATACTAAGGTAAAAGCTATTCACATTTCTCTTAGGAATATAAGAAAGCTTCATAGTAAATATTAATGACATTATTTTGAAATGTATGACAATCTACAATTGTACAAGTTTTTTTTTGTGGTACTGGAGTTTGAACTCTGAGCCTACACCTTGATTCTCTCCACCAGCCCTTTCTTGTGGTGGGTTTTTTTTTTTCAGATAGGGTCTTGCGAACTGTTTTCTGGGTTGGCTTCGAGCTGAGATCCTCCTGATCTCCACCTCCTGAATGACTGGGATTACACGGATGAGCCACCAACATCTGGCAGTACACATTTTTGTGAATTAAAGAACACAAAAGATTTAAGCAAAAAATTTTGAATTAAGTTCATTTTTTTCAACCAGGAAGTTTAGGCACATTTAGAATATTGAATGTCTACTGTATTCAGTCTAAAAAAGCAAAGCAAAAATATAAAGAAAAAACAAGTTAAAACTGACTCAGAAATTTTTGCTTTCTCTTTGTACTTGAGATGTAATTTTTAAGTATTCTTTTTAATGGCATAATACTCAAATGTCTGCAGTTCATTCTGAAGAGTCTTTTTCATAGTCCCTTAATAAATATTTATAAAAAATACTTACTGCCCAATGTATTTTCCCCCAAATAAAATTTCCCTAAAGATGTTTTTCCATAAAGGAAGTAGGGAACATATGTTTCACTGCAGAAATGAAGTTGAAAGCCTAAAGTTAAGACAAAACTGGTGTTAGTATGGAGACTCTATGGTACAAAAAGTAGAAAGAAGCTTATTATCCGGCAAAGTTAATACTATGTTTGTTGCCCAGCTAGAATTACTTTGTTAATAAAAAGTAAGAGGAGACTCTATAATAAGTTAGGCAACACAAAGTCTCTGCCACAATTGTAATGCTGGTAATTATTTCAAAT